TCCGGGATCATCCACACGTAGAAAGAAGAGCATCTGGACGTTCCACGACGGTGCTTTTTTTCGAATGACAGAGACTGGCACACCAAAGATGGTGGGTGCCGACTGTGGCATTACGGACGTTGGGTCGGATTTCTCGTCGAGGACGTCCAGTCCCGAGTCGGAAGACTCGTTTACGACCGAGTCATGGAATAAAGCTAGGAATAGTACAGGTGAGCAATTGGATAGTGGAGATTGAACGCCATCTGAATTAGTCATTATTCTCGTTCCGTTGGGGCGTTTGGGGTAGAGTGCGTCAAGAAAATTATCGTATTTCCTCCAGAAATCTGGCAATATATCATTGCATGCGCAGACACTTCGACACTAGCTAACGTCGCTCGGGTCAATTCAGTCGCTCACGGGATGGCGATGAAGTTATTGTACAATTCGGTGTCGCTGCCCAAGATGTCGGACTCGTCAAAACTCCTCAAGACATTGTGTTCTGCCACATCTCGGGACTTTTTGGGCTACGTTCGTGCGCTCGACATCCCCATCAACGACAAAAATTCGCCTTCCATCAATCAAGTACTCAAATCCCTGCACTCGTTGTCCATTCTGAAGCTAAAGGTCATCGGCCAAGTCGCCTGGCCGTTCAAAGATACTCGATTGAACTTGATTCAATTTCATTGGGAGGTTTTACAAGACAAGGTCGTTCCGACGGGTGGTTTGGAGCATGGCGGAGGAAGCCAAGGATTGAGTACCTGGCTGCAAACTCAACCCAATATAATGAAGCTCAAGGTGAGTTACTAGCGCACTCTACACTAACTCCTAACGTTCCCCATATGATAGCTCGTCACACATGAACGAATATCGGTTCCTTCGTCGTCTCTGAGAAACCTAGTGAGAGCATCAGGTAAATGGACACTCTTTATGCTATTTATCACTCTAACGCCCTCTCAGGACCCATGTTCATCGTGTCTAGTCTTGTTCCAGGCCGTCCTGTAAATACAGTTCAAGTCACGCCCCGCACAAGAGATGCAACGGCGGGCATGAAGTCCCTAGCCTTGTCTACCGGACCACTCAAGCATCTGAAAATTGTATCCAGACCGGACATGGATCACCGG